TGCAAGGCAAAGTCCCATCTGCACCCATCATGACACTCATCATAGAATTGGACCTGCTTGCACCCCCCAGAAGACAACCTTTGATTCATCCCCACCAGGAGAGGAAGGCAAACAACCTGCAAAAAAAAACGCACTGGAAGAAGGGATGGGAAGATGACAATATAAGAACACATTCAACAACAGAAAAAAACAATATGATGCCAACAGATTCTAGGGACTCTACACCACTTTTTTCATACTTTTTAAAAGACTGGCACAACCTACCTTTTGTGGAAGATACTTAGAAATATTTTGGTCAAAGTCTTCACAATTTCCTCCACCCTCCAAACCTCAGATTTTGCAGATTAGACAGTATGTCAGGATGCAAGCTGGAAAATCAGTAAAAAAAAAAAGTATCTCAATTTGAAACATCTTTCTCAGCATCATTAAGAGCTATAGGCAAGTAATTGAACATAGTACACCTCAGGTGTTTTAAATATTATAAAAATGAATGAACATTCATAACTTAATTTCAGGTTAAGAATTTGATTGAGCTCTTTATTCAAAAGAAATAACTGAATAAATAGTGGGACGTATTTAAAAGATGATTCCATAATTTTTTGTCCTACAGCTATCAATTAATTTATTGTGGATATCAGAACTGACACTTACCAATGCATGTCCTTTTCGTAAAAAATCATCAATGAATACATGAGTTCAAATGCATAGGACTTCAGTTGTGGTTGCAGACACTAAAATGTCAATAGTATACTTGGTATAATATTTTAAAATATTTAAGTAAGTTTTTCGTAAATATCGATAATTCATTATTAGAAAGTTACAATGTCATTCCGTGAATCTGACACAAACATTACAGTCCTCTTCTCCCTCCCTGAGTATCCAAAATTTTAGAAAATTATTGTGAAATACTGCCTCTGTCTTTCAAAATGGATGTTTGGAAAATACTGGTTTGCCACAAAAAGTTATAAAATATTCAATGTGCTTAAATAAATACTCTTTAACACAAGGAAAACTTAAATTTGCTATTATATAATCTATGGTTAGTTAAGAATTAGTGTCTGTCTTGTTTTTGATTTTTAAATAGTTACATAATACTTAGTTTTCGGTTTTGACATTTAACTTGAATTTAAAGTATATAAACTTGTAAAATATACTTTTCAGCAGTTTTCTATTGAAATTTTAATAACTTTGTCTATCAGAATTACTGTTTTCACATCACCTTTTTCTTAAAAAAGTAGTTACATAAAAACTGTGGGTACATTCCTTCCAGGTTAACTGTATTAACAGATTTTCATCATACCTGAATTATGTGTGTCACAAAGAAAACTGTGTAGGAATTACTAAATGGAAATAGAGACTTCAGTTTGTGAAGGAGACTAAATTAAATTTCAGCCAGGGAAACAGTGACAACAGGTCATTGGAATTCTAAGAAGGTTTAAGAACTAAATGTCCTTTTATCCTGGTGAACTTTGTCAACTTTTCTGAGAAGCACTCACACAAACAACATTAAGAAGTCTTGGATAATAATCTCGAAAACGACCAATTATATTGTAGCAACAGTATTTAAATCAAATTACATTATTTCAAGACTGAAGAATGAAATCCTTTGGGACCAAATGTGAACTGTTTTGCTTTGGTAAGCATAGGTCATATGATAGGACTATTTCCAGTGTTTTTAGGAATGTTCATATTCTTCTCCATGTTATATTAATTTGTATTCCTGACAAGCAATGAAAAGGTTTTGCTGTCTGCACATTTTGGCCTGGACATGTCTTTTATATATTTTTAGAATGGCCATTCTAAGCAAATGAAGCAGTATAACATTGTGGTTTTGATGTCTCTTGCCATAATTATAAGTGTTGAGCTTTTTCATTTATGTGTTGGTTATTTTCTATGAGTGCTTTGAAAAAATCTGTTCAAATAAATCTCTTTTATTTGATATTTTAGCAGCTTTTTGAATCTACTCAAATATTTGGGGCCTTCTTTTTTATTAAAAAGCTGTCATTGAGATTTTAAAAATTTTTGCAAAAATTTGTGTTTATTGGCATGTGTATACATAACAAAATAATATTTAGCATTTTACAGTGCTATATACGAAATATTGATGAGCATAGAGTACATAGTGCTAATCCAAAAAAGACTAACCCTGAAAAAATGATGCAAAATGACATCTAAATGTGAAATATCAAAAAATTATTTAAATGGGCAATATAATGCCAAGAGAGAGTCATTTCTTTTGGAGTTGTTGGTCCAGTGAGGTCCACAGAACCCCCAAACATTATATAAGTCAATGCTCTTGGTTATCCTCCAGCACTTGATGTTAAAACCCTATTGATGAAAACACTGCACAGATTCTTCAATTGTAGAACATAGACTAGTTTTGATCCAAAAGCTTCATTCTTAATGACTAGGTTTTATAGTGTTGAAATGTCTTATGCACAATACTGGAGCAAATAAGTAATCACCAGTATTATCCATCTGTGATTACTAAGAGCTACCACATTGGCCATCCTGGCAAGATAGTTCTAGATAGGTAAAAGTGTAATGACTGTCACAGAAATGATCAACAAACTTCTAATTGCATCTAAGGATCACTTCACAAGGACCTGAAACTTGTACCTAGACAGGTGATACGCCCTAGGAGAGAACCTACTACTATTATTTGCTATATGTACGTAGCAGTATTTAACTTGATTTTGATTATTGTCACTATATTACACATCTCCTTGTCCAATTGCTTTTAACATTTTCCCTTATAGTTTATTTTTATTTTTACTTTTGTCATATGATATATTTCAAACATATACTTTCTCTACTCTAAATTCTTCCCAGATACCTCATTCCCTACATATTCAACTTAATGTTATTCCTCTCTCTTTCCTTTTAAACAAACAAATTTTAAAAATTACCTACCCAAAACAAACAAACAAAAGCCAAAGCATGGAAACATTTGTGTGTTTGCCAACTATTCCTGAACAGGATGCTATCCCTATAGTTGGCTTTTAACTTTTTAATATGCAAAAACATTTTATTTAAAGTAGAATTCTCACAGACACACTTAGGTTACTATTTTTTCTGTCTACTGAATCCATTTCTCTTATATAAACTTTTAAAAATAAACATTCTTATGAAAACTGTACAAAATATCAAGTATTGAAATAAACCAGACTCAAAGTCAGTAAATCTCAATGAAGATTTATACATGCAGATTAACCATTAGGAATGACAGCCTGTAGCTTCTGATTGGATTTTACATTTTCACCATCAAAAATGAAAAGTAATTCATGAACATTTTTTTCTCCATTTTTAATTTAAAGTAGAAACAAGATTTTTTTTTTACATGTCAATCCCAGTTCCTTCTCCCTCACCTCCTCCCCAGCCCTGCACAAACACCCTACTTATCCCAAACCATTTCTGCTCCCCAGGGAGAGTGAGGCCTTCCATGGAGGGTCTTCAGAGTATGTTGCATCCTTTGGGATAGGGCTTAGGCCCTCCCTTTGTGTCTATGCTAAGGGAGTATCCCTCTATTTGAAATGGGCTCCCAAAGTCCATTCCTATGCTAGGGATAAGTATTAATAAAACAACACAAAAATCAATGTAACAAACCTTTATCCAAACTAACCAAAAGGCAGAGAGAGAACATTCAAATTAACAAAATCAGAAATGAAAAGGGGGACATAACAACCAACACTGAGGAAATCCAGAGAATCATCAGGTCACACTTTGAAAACCTGTACTCCTTCAAATTGGAAAATTTAAAGGAAATGGACAATTTTCTGGACAGATATCACTTACCAAAATAGAATCAAGAACAGATAAGCAACTTAAACAGACCTATAACCCATAAGGATATAGAAGCAGTCATCAAAATTCTTCCAATCAAAAAAAAAAAAAAAAAAAAGGCCCAGGACCAGATAACTTCAGTGCACAATTCTAGCAGAAATTCAAAGAACAGCTGAAACCAATACTCCTCAAATTGTTCCACACAATAGAAGCAGAAGGTTCATTGCCAAACTCTTTAGGAAGCAGCAATTACCTTGGTACCCAAGCCACACAAAGACACAACTAAGAAAGAGAACTATAGACAAATATCCCTCCCCTCATGAATATTAATGCAAAAACATTCAATAAAATACTGGCAAATCAAATACAAGAACATATCAGAAAAATCATCCACTGTGGATGTGTGGATTTCACATCATGCAATCTGATCCTGCTTATCTCTCTGTCCCCTCACATCTGCTCTTGCCACTTTCTCCCATAAACAAAATCAAATTTAAAAGACCCCCAAAAAACAAACAAGAAGAAAAGGAACAAAATCAAAAATATAAAAAATAAAAATAGATGAAGCATCTTGTGGTGGGAGTTAAAATGTGGATCGGTGAGTCACAGTTTACCCTTTAGTCCATACATCTTTACTTGTAAGTGGTTATTGCTATGAATCATTGTTCACGTTTGGGACCTCAGATTTCTGCTACACCACCAACAACAGACTCTCAGTTGGCATCCTTTTGGGCATCCTGTTATTGTCCTGTGTCTTGGAGATCCTGCTGTTTTGAATTTATAGACACATTTCCTTCACATGGTACAACAGTATATAGATTCAGTGGATGTTGGGGTGGGCCAGTCCATAGCTCTGGTTCTGGGTCTGGGTGCTAGCTGGGTTGGTCAGCCCACCAGTTTTTCCTCATTGTCACTTCCTAGATGAGCTCTCCAGCATTGCCTTAGCTAAATCATCTAATTTAGCCTTCAACAATGAGCCAGACCAGTTCTCTTGCTCTCAGGCCTTCCCATCTCTCCCTTATTTTCATCGCCAGTGCCAGCTCTACTGTTTTGCCCAGGCAAGGTTCAGTCAGGGCCCTCTCTCCAGATTACTATGGTAGGCAAAAAAAGGAGGGAAGGGCCAACTCTCCTCCTGTTATGCCCATAAGGATGACTCACCTATGTCCCCGACGACAAAGTCAGTTCTATTGTGCTTTCCACATGAGGTGCATGCCTATAAATATACATAACATTTCATAAATTTTCATGTCATCCTTGCACAGGAGCCAGGCTAACTAACCTTCTGTGGATGATTCCAATTTTAGTGTATATGCTGCCGAGGCAATCACATCTTTTATTTAACTTATCATTTATACTTCTTTTTTGTTCCTAAATTTCATTTATGAATTAATACAAAACATTTCAAAATAACGTGTCCCTTTCTGCCTCCTCTGTTGCTATGTGGCACATGAAAAAAGCTTGTGGTGAAGAGCAACAACAATATCGGGTTTTGAAATTCAACTGTGATTACACCATGTAGAAGAAGGAATCATGGATGCTGCCAGTTTCTAGCAGTTCCTCCAAGAGAGAATCAAGGTGAACAGGAAAGCTGGGAATCTTGGCAAAGGGGTTGTGACCATAAAACAGAGAAAGAGCAAGATCAGTGTCACTTCCAAGGTGGCTTTCAACAAAAGGTATTTGAAATATCTCACCAAAACATATTTGAAGAACAGTCTCTGAGTTTGGTTGCCTGTGGTCGCCAACAGCAAAGAGATTAACCAGATTAACCAGAATGAAGAAGAAGAGGGTTAAAAAGCATTTGTCTGGAAAGTTTTGTTTTAATGATTGTAATGCTTGCTTAGTTTACATCACTCATTCTTTCTTTTTTGACTTATCATTGCCCATATTGACTTGGGAGTTTTTTTTTCTTTCTTCTTTCTATGTCCTAATGTTTTCAATATTTTACAAGTCCTTTTATTCCCACATCTCCTGTGGTTTCCACAGACCATCCCCTACTAATCTCCCTCACCTATTCTTAGCTGAATCCCAAATCCCAACTCCAGCAGGCACTGCTGTTGAACCACATGCCACTCCTACAAAAATATGAGGTAGGATGCCCTCAGACCTTCTCCTGTTTCTGTCTTTGTTCCCCAAGACCCAATCCCTTACCTTGTCCTTAGAGCTTGAACAGAATACCATCTGTTGTCTCCCTTACCTCCTGCCCTCATCTCCTGTGGATCCCACAAAACATGCCTTCCTAAGCTCCCTCTCCCCACTCTTATCAGTATCCCAGCTTCCAACTCCAGCAGGTACCCACTGTTAAACAAACAGTGGGTCTTAACAGGCAGAACACCTGGTAGGCTGCCCTCAGACCTTCTCTCTCTGTGTTACCCCACATCTAATCCCTCAGTTTCATTCCTAATGTTGCAACAGAACACTAGCTGCATCTTTCCTTCCACTCTGCCCACATTTACAGATCTCCCTTCCCCCAACTCCAGCAGGCACTCCCTGCTAACCCAATGACTGATCCTCCCATGGCAACAAATAGTTGAAGGCAGACTCACAGATCTCCTACTGCTCATGAGATCCAATTCCCTAGTTTCATACCCAGCTCTGTTGTTGGAAACATGCATTGATCTCCCTTTCCTTTCTGACCCTATCCCAAATTGATCACAAACACCCTTTACTCCAGCATTCCTTTCTCCAACTCATCCCAGTATCCAAGGTGCATTTCCTATGAATGCACCATGCAAACCGGCCAGGGAAACAGAAAACACACACCCATATCACTCTCTGTGGGCCAGAAAATGTTTTCAAAATTTTCAAGCTATATCATAGTAGAAATTTTTTCTAATCTAAAGAAGGAGATACCTATAAAGGTACAGGAAGCATGGGGAACACCAATTTGATTAGACCAGAAATGAAAGTCCCCTTACCGCATAATAATCAAAACACTAAACATACAGAACAAGGAACAAATGTTAAACAACGCAAGGGAAACAAGACCAAGTATGATAAAAATGACAGACCTATTAGAATTATACCTGGCTTCTCAATGGAGACCATAAAAGCCAAAAGAACCTGGACAGGTGTGCTGCTAACTCTAATAGACTAGAGCTTCCAGACCAGACTACTCTACCCAGCAAAACTTTCTGTCACCATTGATGGAGAAAATGAGATATTACATGATAAAGTCAACTTTGAACAATATTTATCTACAAATTCCGCCCTACATAAGGTGCTATAAGGATAACCCCAACCTAAGGAGGCTAACTATACTGCATGAAACTGAAAATATAAATAATCTTACACCATAGAATTAATTAGAAGGGACACACACACACACACACACACACACACACACACACACACACACACACACACACACACACTTTGCTTCCACCATCAAAAATAACAGGAATCAATAAACGTTTGTTTAAAAAATGACATCATGAAATTTGCAAACAAATGGAGGGAACTAGAAAAACTCACCTGAGTGAGGTAATGCAGATTCAGCAAGACGAATATGTTATGTATTCAGTAATATTAGATGTTGAATAAGTAATAAACAAGCTACAATGCAAAGACCTAGAGAGGTTAGGTAAAGAGGAAAGGCCTGGAGAAATGCATGGATCTCTCTGGTGGGGGAATAGAATAGATTTTATGCATACACTGAGGACAGGTGGGAATTAGAGTAGGAGTTGAGAATGAGGGAGTGTGGAGAAAAGACTTTAATTTTGGGTCTGTTATAGCGTTGTTGTTGAAACCTAGTGCTGTGCAAACTTCCTATAATCTATGAAGTTGATCTAAATGAGGACTCATAGTAATAGTGGATGTGGAGTCTCAACTGACCATGTTTTATAGCCAGGCAGGGCTTCTCTTGATGTAACTAGGTTGCATTCAATTGAGTTCTTGGCCAATGAGGTCCCATGGAAATTGTCAAACAACCCAGGCTGTTGCTAAAGCAAAAGGGTTGCTCTATCCACATTGACAGCTGGAAACTGTTGCTGAGAACAATAGCCATGAAATTCATCGAACATGAAAAAGTCTAGTTTGTCCCTACATGGAGCTTTCACCTCTACTATCTAGTCTTTTTGGTGTCGGAAGGTACTCTGCAGACTATAGAAAGAGAAAGATGGACAACAACCTATCAACAAATCCTTTGATCTATAACCTGTCTATACTGCAAAATGAACTAGGACAATGGTGACACAGAAATTTTAGGAGTAGCCAATTAATGCATGTTTTGACTTAAGGTTAAGGCCCCTCAGTGAGAAGTACCCCATACCTGACACTACCTGGGTAACAAAGGAGCAGAGAGTAGATAGCCAAGTGACGTAGGGTAAAACCAAACATTGCAGGTCTAGAAAAAAAAACAAAATTATTCCTAGTAATATTCTGCCTTACTCATATATCAGTGACTCATCCAGTCATCATCAGAGAGGCCTCCTTTAGCAGCAGATAGCAAGAGATACAGAGACCCACAGGCAGACATAATGTGAAGAGAGAGATAGTCTAAATGGGAGGTCTCCATCAAATCCCTCCCCTAAGGTATCATGGAATTTAGAGGAAGAGGTGGTAAAGCTTGTAAGAGGTAGAGGACACCTGGAGAACAAGGCCCTCTGAGTCAACTAAGCAGGTAACAAATGAGCTTATAGAGACTAAAGCAGCAAGCACAGAGCCTACTTGAGTTTATAGGTCCTGTGGGTACATATTATCAGTTTTAATGTAATTATTTTATGGAACCCTTACTGAGTGAACAAGTGGGTCTCTGACTCTTGTGCCTGTTCTTTGGACACTTTTCTTCCTGTTGGGTTGCTGTGTCTAAATTTGATATGATATTATTTGCTTAATTTTACTATATTTATTTGTTATGTTTGGTTGTTATCTCTTAGGAGCCTGATCTTATCTAATCAGAGACAGAAATGGAGTGGATCTGGAAGGGAGGGAAAGTGGGAAGGAACAGGAAGGAGTAGTGAGAGGAGAAACTATAATCAGGATGTATTGTATCAGAAAATAATCTATTTCAATTTTAAAAGACTAAATTAAAAAGCTATTCCAAATTGGATAAAGAACACATCAAACAGTCAGAGGGAAATCTGACTACTGTAGAATTTATCCATGGACTAGAACAGAAATAAAAATATTAATGTGTGCTTAAAGAATAGTTATTCAAAGAGTTATGTCCACTTAGTACTAAAAGTTTCAAAGTCAACCCATTTGTTTTAATAATAAAGTTATGACCCAACTGTATAATAAAAAAATGCACCATTATAATTATGGTACTAACATTTAAGGAATTCACATCAAGACAAATGATTCAGAGCCATATATATGGTCTAAATTAGAAAAATGCTCTTTAATGTTACCTGACATACCTGACATATACACTTTATTTTCTATTTTATACACTGTGATAAGTGATAGTTCTGTGTGACACCCTTGCTGCCCACATTAGTTTTAGCAACTCAACTGTTGAAGTTATTTTATAGCCTAGGGATCTTTAATTTCACCATGTTCATTCTCTCCCTAAGTATTCTTTAACAAGTTTAATGAAACACATTTTTA